AATGGCGGACGACTAACAGTAGTCGTGTTATCCGCCAGCGCCTATGGACTTCCGCAACAGTGCGGCATTTGGATGGCGGACGACTAACAGTAGTCGCTTAGCCGCCGTCGCCCATGCACTTCCGCAACAGTGCGGCACTTGAATGGCGGACGACTAACAGTAGTCGTTGGATCCGCCGGCGCCCATGGACTTCCGCAACAGTGCGGCATTTAGATGGCGGACGACTAACAGTAGTCGCTTAGCCGCCGCAGCTAACAGTAGCCGCAATTAAACTAATATCAGTATTAGTTAATACCTGTAAGCACCAACCGCGGAATTGACGGGTTGTTAGTTAGTAATATTGGAGTTTGGTAAATTGGAGTGGACGAGCTAACCACCGGCAGTTAGGTTTCGGCGCCCAAACCGTTGCGGAAAACCTTTACAGGATACAACAAGACCCTGCAATTGGTCTAAATTGCTCGGTAGAAGGGTTGAAATTGGCACGGGGTCTACACCTGGGACAAGTTGGATTGCCGGGACAGGCCCTTGAATTGGCCTGACAGGGATACGAATTGGCCTGGCAGGGACATTCCAACAGTCGGAATTAGCCTGACAGGGATACGAATTGGCCTGGCAGGGACATTCCGACAGTCAGAATTAGCCTGACAGGGACACGAATTGGCCTGGCAGGGACATTCGGACAGTCAGACTTGGCCTGTTCAGGGTGTCGAATTAGGGAAGCACAGGAATTGTGCGACCGGGGCAGTCAAAAGAATTGCTCTCCCCCAGGGCTCGGGCCGAAACTGTACTGCGTTAGCTGAAATAGTTTCCGATTTCTGGACCCTTCTGCGAAAGCTCGCGAAACTGTCGGAAACTGCCGAAACCCTGAAAATGCTGTACTTAATGACGTTCTTGCTTAATAAACGTTATAAGTGGGCCGTACATGCCGAAGTGCTGCTTGAGTGTAGTCTGCTGCCAGTCCTTGCGCGTCAAGGTGCGAGACGAGGCGCTGCTGGCGTCCTTGGTCACTACTGTCAGCAGCTCGTGCCTAACATCAGGCGGGACTGGACCTGCGCACTTGTGAGCAATGTGTATGCGCATCTCCTGAAGGCGCCCCTGTTTGAACTCGAGACGGCAGTACTTGCAGGTGATGATCCAGTTCTTAGACTTGGAGTTGTAACCTTTCTTGTAACCTTTCTTTTCGAAATGAGCCCAAACGGTCTGATCAGAGGGCCTTCCGCCCTTGTTTTTGACCGCCCCAGCTGACGTCTCTGGGTCCGCACTGACAACGGAAATTGTTTCAGACATTTTAGAGGTCAATTATCCCATCGCAGAGTTTCGCAGCATTCAATACCGCGCGTACGCTTTGAAAGTAGGTTCCGCCGTACAGCGCTAGCCGAGAGTGGCCGAAACTAGTTTCGGCCTTTCCGTTGACCAAGGACCTCTTCGTCGGAAACCCCGAAACTAGTTTCGGCAGGTTTTCGTTTCGGCAGGTTTACGTTTCGGCCCGAGCCCTGCTCTCCCCGACCTTGTGTCCTACCCTCTACACCCTCCTTCCCCTGAAGGCGTCTCCTCTCCTCTTCCTATACTCTCTCCTCCTCTTCCTCGCCTTACTGTGAATACTTTGCTCATTAATTTTGCAGACGCTCAGCCCGGTTTTAATGCGCAACTCCTTACACATCTCTTCCTGCAGTTCTCGAACACAACGTTCATTATTGCTAGTTCTTTTTAATTATTTTTAATTATCTCTTCTTTTTACTTGACGCTTCCCTTTGCCATTTTTCCGGGTGTCACATCCCATATGCCTGCGTCATGAGAACTTTTGTAACCGCCATATGCTCGGCCACTCCTTTACACTGCACATCTTTCGGACTTCTGCGCTCTTCATTTTACCATACTTTCCATATTATTCAATAACACCGCGCCAAGTCCCCGAACGCAGCGCCTTGTTTTACGTTTTACGGCGTTCCTTCCGGATCGAGCAATGATCGAGATGTGTCTCAGTCCGAGCATGCTCGCCCATTTCATCCAACATCTAGGCTGTTGCCCACCTTTTAGGTGGGCAAGCCAACAAGTACTTGCCGCTTTGCGCACAACATAACTCACATGAATGATAATAATAAATATCAAATGGATGTCATGCACTGCACCCTACAGAAGTAAATCTTTCCAAATGGCCACAGACCGCCGCCGGCCGTAAGTACAATCGAACCTTCAGTTGTCCACCGAACACCAAAGACTACTCAGAAAACTACGTCATCAATATATTTTCAAAGCAGTCCTCTTTAATAGTAAATAAATGATGTTGGTCAAACAAGTAATAGCCATCTTCCCTGAGAACATCAGATTTTCAGATTTTCTTGAATATTTCCCGCATGGAAAATATTATGTAATGTTTCCCTTATGTCTTCGGCTGGCGATCGCGACTCACATTGGCCGTACATCAGGATAGACGAGCACAGGAACTCCCACACCGCAATCCTAAAACCCTAAGTGTTTGTACTTCCGCCGTAACCCATAAAATTCAATACACCTTCTTAGCGCTTTCACTGCATTTCATCTCATCATGTTATTCATAGTCCTGTGTATCAATGATTGGCCCACCTCGCTGTCCGTCGAAATTTCGACGGACAGCGAGGTTCTAGACTGAACCTAACTGGACGTACACTTCCGCCCCATGAGCTACGGCATGAATTACGCAAGACTTACGGCCGTAACCCATGAGGGCCTTAAAAGCTAGTCCGTACCTCATGCAGGCTTTTTATGGCAAGCCAACAGACACATTTTGCATGAGTGGTCGTTAAAAGGTGGCTGCGGCTGCGTGTAAAGGTATGTTCCTGCTGTCTAGGAGTAGTTTGTCCAGCCATGCGCGCTTCCTGCTGGAAGTATAACACAATCACACGCACGCAACAAATGACGTGTGTTGTCGTTATTGCCATCGTGTCGCTTTGTTTGATTGCTATGTATGTTTGCTTAGGGTTTACCAAAACCCTAAGTCCGGGCGTCGAATCAAAAGCACTCGAAAGGAGGCCTTTTTATACTGAATGAAAGGGGTGCTACACTGTGCCGGGCCAC